GGGACAGAGGGGGTGGGGGGCGGGGGGGGATTTCTGTGCATGAACCTCAGAGCCGGGATCGGGCTCACCTTCCGGGTGAGACGGAGGGTTTGCTGTGGGGACGCTGCGTACAGGCCAGGCGGGCAGGGGTCGTGGGAGTGGGGTTCGGTCAGGTGGACAGGCTGTCCGGGTCTCAGGGAAGGAGACGTGCGTGGATCGCTCTTTAAAAGGCAGAACAGAGAGTGAATCCGGACAACGAGAGTTCGTGGGTGTGACTTCGTTTTATAAGACGTCCAAGAACAGGCCAAGGGCAGCTGTGGCGATAGCTGGAACTCGGGGTGCAGGAGGGCCCCACAATGTCCACACCCTGACCCCCGATGAGCGACCTCCTCCGGGGGAGTCTTTACCGACGTCATTAAGTTAAAGACTCGAGAGGAGATTCGCCCTGAATTATCCCAATGGGCCCTGATCCAAAAGCCTGTCCGCATGGGAGACACCGAGGAGAGAGACAGACGCTCATGTGAAGACCAGGCAGGGACTGCAGTGAGGTGGGCGCCAGCCAGGGACACGGGAGCCACAGAGGAGGGGGGAGCACAGGAGGGAGGAGGGAGGAGGTAGGAAGGAGGGAGAAGCACAGAAGGGAGGAGGGAGCCCGGTCCTGCCTCTGCCTGGCTTTTGGATTCCTGGCTCTAAAACGGTGAGAGATGCATTTTGTCCCTTGAAATCACCAAGTGTGGAGCCGTTTGTCACAGAAGCCGCAGGACAAACGCCAGGGTTACCGCCAGAGGGGTGGTCTCGCCCAGACGGTGGGCTGGGGGCCCTCGGTGTAGGAAGGTTCCCGTCGGACGGACGGGGTGGGGCTGCACGGTCCCTGCAGCCCCAGGGGCACTCTGCCAGGCACCAAAATAAAACACAGAATGAGGTGCCTTTAAAAAGTGAAAATAAACCCTCAAAGTCCACGCTAAGCTCTTTAATGCACCAGCCTCTCCTGGGAGAAGTTAGGCAAGTCCCTGGTTATACAAGGATTGTGCTTCTCATATCTTGTTAGGAAAAAGTTTAAAAAATACAATCACACAGCTTTTTTTAAATCCTCACCTGCGGGTATTTTTCCATTGATGTCTAGGGAGAGTGGCGGGGAGGGAAGAGGGGGGAGAGAAAAACATGGATTGGCTGCCTCCCTCACGCACCCAACCAGGCTGGGGAGCCTGGTACATGCCCTTGACTGGGAATCGAACCCACAACCCTTCGCTCCACAGGCTGACACTCTCACCACTGAGCTAACTGGCCGGGGCACAAGCACAGGCCTTAAAACACACGAGGAGCCTGTGGAATCGTCTCTGAGCTGGGACTGCCCGACCGCCCGCGTGTGGCCTGTGCTGCTGACGCGAGGATGACAGGACTGAGCCGTGAGCTGAGCTGGGACCCTCGGCCAGATGTGTGTCTGGACATGGCTGTCTGTCTGTCTCCTTTTTCCTGCCGGAAGTTCTTGTTCTGCTTATGTGCCACGAAGTCCCATTTGAGGCAGAAATCGGGGAACCTGAGAAGATCCTTGATTTGTAACTTTTATCTTCACTACATTCTGGTTTCCTAAACCCCATCTACATCTGATCGGCCTTAGAGCCGAAACTCGCAGGATCTCCCACGTTTCAGGGGGTTCGGGACGTCCTTTCCGAGGTGTGATAAGCATCAGTGGAGCGACGGACAGCAGGCATTTTATGTAACGTTCGCCAGCCTGGTGCTAAGAGCCGGCAGCACAAACAAGCAGACGCTCAAACGAGTGCGTGTTGACATCGACATAAAAACACCGAGAGATTTCCTCTGTCTGGCTGTTTTCCTAAATGGGAATCTCTCATAACTCAGCAACCTTTGCATGAAAAGCAAACCCTGCTCTTTAATTACTGGACGGGATTTCAGTGTAACCCAGGAAACATTCGCTGTCACCTCACACGGCCTGCGTGTGGGAGGCCGGAGGGCGGCTATCCTCACCCATTTTTAGTGGAAATAAATGTTACTGTGACCTTCACAGGGGACGATTTGCTGATCGCTGTCAGCAACGCAGTGCACGACCCTTTGGCCGAGAAACGCCTCCCTGGGAACGTGCACACGCACACACGTGCACACATGCACACATGCGCGGGAGACGCTGGTGAAGGGTGTCGGCCCTGTGTTTTCTGGAAGAGCCCACAGCCCTCAGATGAGGCAGGGACCACGTCACCACCCCCGCGTGGGAGCTGGCTGCAGGGCCCCTGTCGCTTCCCAGGGAGGGTCCGTGCAGCGTTAAGGGGTGAGAGGCACATCACCCCCATCGTGTGCCTTTTGAAGGGCGGTCAGGCCCGCTGTGGGCTCACAGGCGTGACTTCGGGGGGTCAGGTGGCAGAAGCACCCTGTACACCCTTTGCTGTCTTCTGCATGTTGAGCCACGTGACTACTGTACACTCGGCGAGACAGCCCTTGCATTATGGGAAGGGGAGCCCCGTGATGACACCCAACACTGACAAAGACCTCGCACCGCTCAGCACCAAAGACAGACAACCCAACTGGGAAACGGGCCGAGGACTCAAACGGACACGTCTCCAAAGAGGACACACAACGGCCAAGAGACACGTGAGAAGGTGCCCAACACCACATGTTGTCAGAGATGAAGTTAAAGTCACAGGGACCCATCCCCTCACGCCTGCCCCATGGGTGCCGTCAACAAGTGAAACAGTGCTGGCGAGATGTGGAGAGAGGGGCCTCGTGCACTGCTGGGGGGGCGGGGTGCGGGGTTTAGTGTGAGGTAAGAGTGATATCACATGTAAAAGACTAGTCAACAGCAGTGGTTGGAGAACGTAGAACAAGACCCCTATTTTACTAATCTCCCCGAGTTCACTCCCCTTGGACTGGGAAAATTAACGTTAAAAAATAAAACCACAAAAGGACTATAAGAAAACATCTACCCGATAATATGCTTCTCATCTTGGGGTTAAAGAGGACTTAGAATATATGAGAGCCAAAACCCAGGGGAAAGATGGAGACGGATTACAAATTAGCTAAGGACACACTGAAGATTTGGTTAATTCAGTCCTGGCCGCGTTGGTTGATTATGACCACCTTCCCCCCAAACCAGGCCCCGAGGGCGGCCCGTCTCCATGGAAATGGACCGGCCCCAGGATTCCTCCGGGAAAGGACTGTAGGGCCCAGTCCCGGGATCAGGGACCCGCCGGCCGTGCCTGCATCAGACAGGCCACCAGCTGCGCTCCACGGCGGCTGCAGACGCTGCCGTTTCATCTTGAAGTTCTCACGTGCTGTGCCCCCGGTTTCTGGGTTTTATGCTGAAATGGCGGCTGTAATGGGCTGTGAGGCGTCCTTCGTGCGCCATCGTCATTACAGGCCGTCGCCGCTCATTCCGTGTCTGGATGGTTTCATGGTCATTGAAATGCAGCTTCTGACAGGGAGCTCGGCCGATAGTCCCACACACGCCCCACAGGTGGCCGCCCCGCGTTCCCCGTGAACCACGTGGGACGAGGGGGGAGGGTCCCCTTGCTGTGCTCAGCCCCACCTGACGCCCATCAGCCCGCCGTCTCCCGCAGGTGCTGAGCGTGGGAGGAGGACTCGGGGTGGCCGTGGACCTCGGCGAAGGTCAGTGATGGTCGTAGCACCTGCGCCAGGGCCTGTGCGGGGGCCCAGGGCCCGGAGATCTGAGGGAACTTCACCCAATTCAATGCCACCTCACCCAACCGTGTGAAAGGAACCAACTAACAGACGCCAAATTTCCACCTGAAATGACCTTCGAGAAAATACGGAGGACGCCCCACGGAGGAAACGTGCACCTGGGAGGAGGGGCTCCCACCGAGCGAGGCCCTGCAGCCCCTGCCCAGGCCTCTGCGTGGGAACCGGAGCCGCCTGCTCTTCCGCCCACTGTTCCAGCCCCTGGGCAGGGCCCATCTCCTGGGGGCTGAGCACGCGTGGACCATCGCTGAGCACACAGCCTTCTAACCACAGCACATTCTTTGTTTTAAATCCTCCCCCAGGATGATTCCCATTGATTTTAGAGGGAGAGGGAGGGAGGGGGGAGACAGAGAAACATCGATGTGAGAAGCACATTGATTGGCTGCCTCCTGCACACGCCCAACCAGGGCCTGGGCAGGGGAGGAGCCTGCAACCGAGGGACGTGCCTTTGGCCGGAGTCGGACCCGGGACACTTTGTCCGCTGGGCCAGGCTGGCTGGGCCACACGTGTCCTTTAGGAAGAAGGCAGCACATCGTGAAACATCGCCCCAGTTCGGTGGAGAACCTGGGTTTGGGGTGATTTAACGCTCCGGGAGCATCTGCCTTCGCTCCGGGCCCACCGGCCACTGAGGAGCCGAGAACAAGGGGTTCCCGGTGGGAGCCCCTCGTGGAGGAGACGGGACCCGACAGGCTGGACTCCAGCCTCAGACCCCGCCCCCTCCTGCAGCCCAGAGAGGACCAGGACGGTGTTTCCACAGTAACTACCTCATTACCTGTCTCCACGTCAGGAAAACGAGCCGGTTGGAAATGTGGGACTCGAAGCACCGTTCAGGCGGGTTCTGAGCTGTCTGAGGCGGGAGAGGCTAGTTCCTGTGTCCTGCTCAGGAGGAACGGATTTCGACGGAGACTGGGTGCTTTGGAGCAGGACTGAAGGTCCCCAAAAACCAGACAACAAGCCAACGCAGGCAGTGCTTCGAACCGGCCCTTGGGAAAGCGTTCGCCTCAGACCCCAGAATTCTGAGCCCCCCGCCACAGGAGAGATGCTTTCACTCTGAAACCCTCGGCGGGGGGCTCACTGGACCCCTCAGCTCTGCACGCCCCGCCCCCCCCGAATCTAGCAGGTCTGCTTCCGAATGCGAGGAGCTTGGTTCTCAGGAGACGGCTCAGGGTGTGTTCCGGCGACCACAGCGAGATTCGGGTGCAAATGCAGAGATCGCTGCCTCCATCACCCGGCACACGTCCCGCGGGACCAACCACGTGGCCCACGTTTGCCGTCCGGGGGGCGCTGCACAGCCCAGCCGCGGACCTGAAGTCATGAGCACCCGCCTGGAGGTGGCCCTGTGCACCGCCCAGCCCACCTGCTGATCGGCGTGAGACCGGGGCTGGGACCGGCCTGAGCCGCCTGCGCTTATTCTTTCGCGCCTTTTGTTTGAATCATTTATATTCTTCTCTTGGAAAAATATACGTGGCCAGTTTGCTCAGTGGGTAGAGCGTTGGCCTGCGGATCAAAGGATTCTGGGTTGGATTCCCGGTCAGGCTCAGGCCCGGGTTGCAGGCTCGATCCGTGATCCTCTGTCATCATTGATGTTTCTCTCTCCCTCTCCCTTCCTCTCTGAAAGCAATAAAATATGTTTAAAATCCACGTGCACACGGGCTCACCCACCTCCTTCTTCCCGCAGGCGGCGTTTTTGAAGCTGCGGAGAACGAGCCAGCCAACGTGGAGGAGCTAGCCTTCAAGTTCGCCGTCACCAGCATCAACAGGAACCGCGGCCTGGTGCCCAACGCCACCCTCACCTACGACATCCAGAGAATCGCCCCTTTCGACAGCTTCGACGCCTCGCAGAGAGGTACCGCGTTCACACATCCAAACACCCCCCGGGCGAGGGGTCTGCTCGGTCCCTCCATGTGCCCCCGTGGCCATCGCTGTGCGGAGGGGCCGCCGGGGTCCCCGTGGGCGCTGGGGTCCCCGTCCTAAGGGAGGCACCCGGCTGCATGTCCCTCCGCTCAGCTCGCCCCTCGCACCCCCGGCCCAGGAGGAACCGGCTCGACTGTGAGTGGAGGCGTCGGGCTGGCCCTGCCTCTCGGCCCGAAGCCGAGACCCCGCGTGACCGTGGGCGGTGCAGGCAGAGGAGACGCGTGGCAGGCCCGTCCTCGCCTCCGTCTCACGGGCTGTAGACCCCGGGGCTGACCCAGCGCCTTCCCGGCTCCCCTTGACCCCTTTCCACACGGTCACGGAAACGGGACGATAACCGACACTGAGTCTTTACGTTGTGCACCAGCCATTGGTGTCCTGTCAGATCTCAATCTCCACAAAAAAAGGTAAAATAAGGGGAAAACGAACAAATAAATACAGCGGAGAACTGGGGGTCAAAGAAGTCGGTGTGCTCTCCGCGTGGAAAGGAGAGCCACACCCACCACAAACACAGGAATTAATTGGAACCAGATTAAATGATTACACGTTAAGCCATGAGATCAACCCCACCATCTGCTCATTCGATTCCCTTTTGCCTTCGGACAGAAAAGCTTCTAAAAAGTAACCTAATTCCTAGGCAGGCGGCGAAGTTTCCCTCCCGGGAAGAGTCGGGTGGGGCCTGTTTTGGGGTCTGCTGATACCAGAGGGGACTCTGAGACACGGTCACATTTTTAAATTATGTTTTTATTGATTTCAGAGAGGGGGGGAGAGAGAGAGAGAGAGAGAGAGAGAGAGAGAGAGAGAGAGAGAGAGAGAGAGAAACAGCAATGATGAGAGGGAATCATGGATCGGCTGCCTCCTGCACGCCCCACTCCAGGGATGGACCTGGGCTTGTGTCCTGACCAGGAATCGAACCCTGACCTCCTGGTTCCTAGGTCCACGCTCAGCCACTGAGCCACGCCGGCCGGGCCGTAAATTAGTTGTTAAACACATGTTGTCTGGGGTTTGGGCTGCACATTGGCTGGTGTGGAGCTGAGAGGGTGACGGAGCTGGGCCCTGACAGTCTCCGTCCTCTGAAATCCGTCGTGGACACAGCGTCTCCAACAGCCCTGTAGGTGCTGCTACTCGTTATCCTGTAATTAGTGGGGTGTCGGCACCACGGGGTGCTCTCTGGCCGTTTCCTGTAGGAGCTAACGCGCCTGCAGCTGCCCAGCACGTCTTCCAACTCCTGTGGCCACGCTGACACCGTCGCTGCCACGGGCAGGCGACTCACCCCACTCACCCGGCATCACTCACCTGGCATCACTCACCTGGCGTCACTCAGCGAAGGGCTGTAGACTCGCTGGAGGCTCCTGGGGTCCCCGAACCAGGCCAGGGATTTGGACTCCACCTGAGGCCCGGCCGGCGGGGCTCAGTGGCTGAGCATCAACCTGTGAACCAGGAGGTCAGGGTTCGATTCCCAGTCAGGGCACAGGCCCGGGTTGGGGGCTCCATCCCCAGTGTGGGGCGTGCAGGAGGCAGCCGGTCCATGATTCTCTCTCATCATGGATGTTTCTCTCTCTCTCTCTCTCTCTCTCTCTCCCTCCCTCTCCCTTCTTATCTGAAATCAATAAAAATATTTTGTAAAAAGATAGACTCCACCTGATGAGGGGTGGGGACAGGAGGCCAGGGTGAGTGACCGGCCGGCGTTCCCATCCCGGGGCTCAGTGTCTGGGACTCT